TTGTTGCGTATCATGTCCATTCGATAATTTTTTTTATAATTTGTGTTGTCTATCGTCTAGGGTTTGCCTCGTATTCCACTGCATCATTTTCAAACACACACCAGGTATTTCTGTTAAATGCTTGTCGCTCAATTGTGTTCTCATTGTGTGTATGCAGCTTTTTGTTGCTGCTTAGTTTAAATTAGTTGTTGTCATGAATGCGAGAAAAATAATAATGGTGCACCCTGTTGGTAATTTTGTTTCTACTATTTATTGCTATTAAATATAATGGAACCAACATGTTTAGTTGAAACAGCGGACAAAATTCTTTAATTCTCTTTAAACCCCGAAAGGATGAGGGAATATGAGCTATCATAATGCCATATTTCAGCTTAATCCAACCGTGCATCATTGAACTTTAAAACAAACAAGCAAACAAAAACACACACTTTCACATTTATAATATTATTATGATATGATAAAATGATTAGGCTACGTGTTATAGGATACTGTTTACTATGAATAACATAATAATCTAGTATAATACATTCGGTTATTTTTTCTACCAGGATTATTAATCTTTGACGGCTGTATATTTATTAACATAATAAAATAACAGTCATAGCTGGGAATAATTTTGACCTGGTATCAAATTCCACTCGACTGACGATTGGTATTTTCTCGGCAAATTCCTTGATATTGTACTGTAGGTGTTAGTCTACGATGAAAAGAACTGAGCAAGAAATAACCTAGCACAAGGCTGAGTATAAAATGCCCGTACAATAAGAACAGAGAGGAGACCAACAATACGCTCGGGTATATTGGATTGTGACACAATAGTTGGCAGCCAACTTCTCCGCCACGGCGACCGACCACATTACAATGTGTTGCTATCAAACACGCACAGCAGACACGCCGGATTATCCAATATAGGCCTACGATATGGTTTCGTTAAATCGACATCATTAGGATTTTATTAAAAGGAATTTGTTGGTTCAAAACAAGGAAGGGAGGCTATTTGTTTCTTACCATCAATATGTTGATAACGGTCGTTACTATTATACTTCTAGATTGTAAGACTAATACGGCTCTAAAGAATGTCACTGGTAAGATGCAGCTTGCAATGTAATGAACCGAATCTATGTTCGGCGAAAGGTGCTGGTATCTTGTGTAGACTTTGGTAGCTCAGCGACGTGACGAGTCACCGGAAGACTGCCCATCGGACAACTAACCCCTCTCCCAACCAAAAGCAAGTTCCTACGTTATGTTGACGGGCGGTTTTCCAGTCAAGGACACTCAAATTTCGTTGTCAAACTGTTCTAAGCTAACCACACCTATCTAGCCAAACTTGCTGTCACATTTCAAAATTATGTTTGATATTCCCCACATGCCTTTTATGTTTTCAACCGAAATTACTCGAATAAAAATTATGATGATAATTATAACCTATAAAATAAACTTTATTACATAGCATCACACTTTGATAAGGGGGTAGTATTCCAGTGCCGGACACGGCACGGCTCCTATATTGGTTAGTTTTTGGCAGATGTGAGGTCATGTTTCACCTGATGGGGGGGGGTTAGCTTTGCGGGGGGTAGTATTCCGTATCCCCAGCAAGAGTTCCACTATTTCAAGTACCTAAAAATGTCTGGAAAGGGTTTCCTATATTGGCCATAAGATTAACAACGACTTCCCCTGAGATCTTATAAAAACTGAGCATCCTCGTATTAGAAATGTTATCAAAAAATTATGTTAATTTTCTCAACTTTAGTCTATTGTATTTATTTGAATCTTTTTATATTTATTTATGTAGGCCTATATATTAATGTGCACGCATGTTTCTTTAAAACGTTTTTTTCAGCTCGTGTTCTTCGCAGGGAAAATCTATGCATACTGTTATAAACATATATTCCTGTAGAAGTGCAGAATCCCTTTGTAAAATAAAATTGGCTAAAAAATAAGCACAAAAAAATGAATTCCAAATAAAAAAAATTAACATGGGCCTTATAGGTAGCTACGTCAATGACGAAATAACAACGAAATACAAACAGAAAATCAAAACAAATAGAAGAAATTCCAATCACATGTTTTATTTACAGCTTGGGGTGAAAATAGAGAAGTCTGTACATTACATATTTTTGGTCAAGTTTTCGAGCGCTAGACGACCTCTAGTTTATAATAGAGGTCGTCGAATACTTCGAAAACTGCAATAATATTTAACAACTGATTATAATTAAATTGTAAAACATGTTCGATAAAGAAACATTGACTTATTTTGTGATAATTCTCTAAACATTATTTGGCTAAGCTGCTCTTTAAAACAGTCTTGTACTGTAAAGACACTTATTTAGTTAATTTATTCACCTTTATTCACTGTAGAAAAATAAACGGTATCAGCATTCTGACACATACTTTCTGCCATAAGTTTGTCAACAACCTTTATCATGTGTAAGCGGTGAGAGTAAATCTACGGAAATGGGATTAGTACAATTTTGATCAGAATTTAAAGGACTATAACATACTAAGTTTGTATAAAAATCTTTCGGGCCATTTTTGTGAAAATCCGATTTTCGGTCATTTTATGGGGTTTTTATGGTAAAATAACATAATTTACAATAACTTTTGAACCGTAATTTTTACAGAAATGAGATTTTTACCATTTTGTTCAGAATATGAGTTTTATGAGAAAAATCCCCATTAAAAGTCAAAATTTCAAAAAAATTGAAAAAACTATCAAAACTGTAAGGACCATAGCATACTATGTTAAATAAAAACCGGAATGTTTTTCTAAAATCCTATTTTTCATTATTTTATGGGGGTTTTATGGGAAAATAACATAATTTACCATAACTTTTGAACCATAATTTTTAGAGAAATGGGATTTGTACCATTTTGTTCAGAATTTGAAGGGCTACAACATACTAAATTTTTATCAAAATCGTTCGGGCCATTTTTGAGAAAATTCAATTTTTCCGGTTTTTTATGGGTTTTATGGCAAAATCCCCATTAAAAATCAAAATTTCAAAAAAATTAAAAAAGCACCTTGAGATACCATGGATTAGAACCTACATACCAAATTTCACCGAAATCAGACCACAGGTGTAGTCTCTAGCTCTGTACACATCCATATATGAATACTCATATTTTATATGAATACTCATAAATTTAATATGGAAAACTCTAGAGCCACTGGGGCGGAGCCTGACAGGATTTTTGAGATAAGAATATATATATATTCTATGTATATATGTATGTATATGTGTTCTATAAATATATATGTATTTATTCGTTAATCGGGAATGTGAGCTATTATTATACCAAATTTCAACCCTGTCGGTTTAGTATTTTTCATGTTTACTTGTCACAGAAATCCATCCATACATTTTTATACTTCCTCACTTATAATATTAATAGGATGTTAATAGTATAATTAGAAATGAATAATTGTTATACAGTTTATCAAGATGTATTTATACAAGCAAACTACACAGTTTTTTTTTTTTTTAGTTTTCTTCTTAACATAGCACATGGCAGCGTTTTAATATACCCATATATTTGACTATTTGTCTACAAAACGGTACAGGAGAAATTGGTAAGTTTTATGTTTGTAGGATAAAAAATGGGAAAAACCAATTTTTACCCCATGAAACACACCCCATAAAGCCCCGTTCCCATAGTCCGATCATGCTGGTTCGCATACTTGTTCGAATAAAGGTTAATATGTTTATACTTATCTCATTAAAATCGGACCATTTTTGCTCGAGCTATTGCCCTAGCGGACACACACACTTATGTGTGTGTATTATTATATATACATGATGTTTGATACTCTTTGCCATATTATTATATTGCTTGTTTCCTCTGTTACATTTGTTTTGTGCTGATTTAATTAACATCTGTTATATTCATTGTTTTTCAAATATACACAATTTTACAGTCCACATACCTCTTTCTTCAGTCATTTTTTATTATAAGTTTATTTCAACCTTTTTTCAACGCAACGCAGATACCCAACACATGATATATATATACTAGCAGAGTACCCGTCCTTAGTACGGTGTTAGCGTATAAGTATAAAATGCGTATTGCACTAGTGTTAAAGTAAAATTATCATTTTTCACAGCTTTTTGTTGCTAGTTGGTTCAAATTAGATGTTTTTTTTTTATAAATGCATACAAATTTAAAGTGGTGAACCCTGTTGGAAAACCTTATATTTTTATGCTATTTAATATTATAGATTCAACTTGGGTAGTAGAAACAGCTGACAAAAATCGTTTATTCCTTTTAAGTATGAAAACTCATAAGGTAAACATGGGAAACTACAGAGCCACTGGGACAGAGCCCGAAAGGAGTTTTTGAGATAAGAATGCATCTATAAGTTAACCGGGAATTTGAGCTATCATCACACCAAATTTCAGCCCAATCCGACCAGTATTTATCACGTTTAGCTGTCACAAACATCCATCCATCCAAACTTTCTCACTTATAATATTAGTAGGATATGAATTCGAACAACTGTTGTTTTTGGCCTCTGGGGACCTCAAAACGAAAAAGTAAATCGGTCCGAGTCCTGTCTTTACCATGATACCAAGGGCAATAGCTTATTCCCTATTCGGGAAATTCTGTTAAAATTGGAAATATTCTCACATATACAACATTATTGTGTGAAAATATTTCTACAATAATTATATGTCAATAAATAATGCATCAATAATTAAAATGTAAATTAAATAATCAATCAATAAATATATGTATACAGCCAGACATTGTCTATAATAATGAAATATGTGTAAGGAATCTTTTATATTTTATATGCGTAACGTAAAACAATTTTTATCAGCTGCAAAATGTAGATAGCTTATAGCTCTACCATATCTATGTCACGTACACATTTGGTCAGAATTGTGATATAAACATCTCAGTTGGTAAGTTTCTATTGAATTATTGTGTGAGTGACGCAATGAGATGATCCGCATGTGGATTATCAGACGGGCTTCACCGGCCGCGGCGGTGACTGTGTCGGAGGTGGCGGCGGCGCATGCGGACAAGTGCTGGGGGCGGCAGCATCCAGACGCGTCAGTTTCGCGCCACCAGTGCGGCCGTCCAGTCATGACGTCGAGTTGACGAGATGTTCCTCTTGCTTCTGCTGCCCGTCCTCCCGACGGTCCTCGCTGCTGAGGACAACGACACTATCGTGTGCCAGGACGGGCTCCTTCTTCCGGTATGGCTTCCACAAGACAACCTCACTGCGGGCGATCGTGTCGCTCGTGGGATGGTCTACTTCATCGCTCTGATGTATCTGTTTCTCGGGGTTTCCATTATTTCGGACAGGTTCATGTCGGCCATAGAAGTGATTACCTCTCAAGAACGCGAAGTGACTGTGGCCAAGAAAGGCGGCGTCGAGCAAAAGATCGTCGTCCGAGTGTGGAATGAAACTGTCGCGAATTTGACATTGATGGCCTTAGGGTCGTCCGCCCCCGAGATTCTCCTTTCCATTATAGAAATATACGCCAAGAGCTTCCAGGCCGGTGATCTCGGTCCCGGAACTATTGTCGGTTCTGCTGCATATAATCTATTCGTTATTATCGCTCTATGTATTTCCGTCATTCCTAATGGTGAAACTAGAAAAATTAAGCATCTAAATGTGTTTTTTGTGACGGCCACGTGGTCCGTGTTCGCGTACGTGTGGTTGTATGTTATCCTTGCAGTGATATCCCCGGGAAAGGTTGAGGTATGGGAAGGCATACTCACTTTCTCGTTCTTCCCCATGACAGTAGGCACAGCTTATATTGCCGATAGACGCATCGCTTTGCACAAAATACCCTTTAAGAAGTTCCGTCTCAACAGGAATCGAGTAATTGTGGCAGCGGAGAGTGCCGATATCGAAATGGACAAGGAGCCAGAAGTGGAGCTTCTCGACGACACCTTGGAGCAAGCTAGAAAAGACTACTCCAACGTCCTGCGAGAGTTGAGGAAACAGTTCCCGCAAAAACCGATTGCAGAGCTGGAGATCTTAGCGAAGGAGCAGATTGATAACAGCGGCCCAAAGTCTCGAGCATACTACCGTGTGATGGCGACTCGCAGTATGACTGGTGGCAGCATGGGTCGGGCTAGGGCAAACTCTATCTCCGCTGCTAGGAGACCGTCTTCTACCACCGATGACGTCACCAAATTCTACTTCGACCCCGCCACATACACCGTCCTGGAGAACATCGGGACCTTTGAGATAACTGTGGTACGAGAGGGCCGTGAAGTAAACTGCCCCGTCATCCTAGAGTACCGCACTGAGGACGGAACAGCAACGGCGGGCACGGACTACGTGGGGGCCTCGGGCACTTTGGTCTTCAAACCCGGTGACACTCAGCAGACCATCAACCTGCAGATTATCGATGATGACCTCTTTGAGGAAGACGAACACTTCTTCGTCCACTTGACCGATCTCAAGGTCCAGGGTCAAGCGACTCACTCTGTCAAACTGGTCGCTCCGAAGATAGCCAAAGTTCTCATCCTCGACGATGATCACTCGGGCGTCTTCTCGTTCCCGGAAGCGACAATTGACGTTCCGGAGTCCGAGGGTATGTACGAGTTACCGGTCGAGCGAAGTAGTGGTGCACGAGGAAAGATAAGAGTTCCCTACAGAACCGAAGATGGAACTGGCAAAGCGGGTAAAGACTACGTGGAGACTCATGGATATGTTATCTTTGAAGACAACGAAACCAGGTAAACATTACTTAACTTTTTTGCTATTTGGTTAACAAAATGTAGAACTATCTTAAATTTATTGAAACTGATCAAATGCTAAGTATTGAATACGTAAGCTTTGCGTACAGTATTGACTAACATAGTTTTTTTGTTGTTTTTTTTTTTTTTTTTTTAAGAGGTTGGCGGCCTCTTTTACCTTGCATTTGCCCGTCCACATAGACTAAGCGCCCGTGCGTGGATCGTTTACAGCAAAGCAAGGAGTGAGCCGGTACAGTACAAAGGTGAACTGTACTAATTTTAAAATACCGAATATTTTGAGACACCTAACGGTTATTTATTGACTTATTATTGAATATTTACAACTATTTATTAAATAGTTGTAAAACATCTGCATTAGTTATAAGTGATTTTTTTTTACGTGCCAGGTTATCTAAGATAAATTACGAATATAAAGAATAACTAGTGGCTAGTAGGAACTTTGGTAACTAATCTCAAATTTAAAGCAAATTATTCTAATGTTAAAACAAACTCATAATCAAATGATCTATGTGTCAAGATAGATTCCCTGTACACCACATATTTTGTGTAAAAACAGGCTCGTTGTTTGCTTTGATGGAAGTTTTTTTTTTATAATTTGAATCATTCCAGAGGCATAACTCTCCTAAAGGCAGCAAACATAAAAATGTTTGTAAATGAATACTGGTTGGTATTGTGGGTTTAAAATGATATAAAAAAGGTTCCCCTGATTAGAATTTTGGAAATTGTCTTCGTATAAAAGGCATAAAAAGCTGTGTTGAGATACGCTTAGTTCTTCATAACACCGCTAAATTAGCACTCCAACCCGGCTATTATATCTAATTGTACACTCATTTTGTAAAGGCTAACAAAATTAGTGTAATGCACCATATTGAACAACCCTGAACCTAGATTTGTTTCTGACCAACATGGAATTATACTCCTGGTGTAAGTTTATGCCGTGTGGTGGTATTCCTCCTTAAGGTGTGATTGACTATAGAATATGTGTATATTCTTGATTAACGTTTACATCATGTTGTAAACATGCAGCGAGTTAATAGTTTAGATTACACTGAAGTATTAATTTCCTTCTTCGTCGACAGTTTAAGTATTTAATTATTAATAACATCTTCCTTCAATTGAGGAAATGCTCATTTTAAATGAAAACATACTAACGTTTTTATATTTATTTATAGTTAGAAAAGTGAATCATCGGCCAGTTCCTAACCTTTTTGCCACTGGATAGGCGGGTTCCATTACCCAGTTATCGAAACCAATCACGAAACTACATGCATATTTTTATCAATTTTTTGAAACGCAAAGAAACTGAAACGACCTTAATTTTAACTGTTAATTATAAAGATGCTTTTCTATCCATACATGCTACTTGCTGCACCTTGTTTGCTGAACTTGCTGTTGCTTTTCTATGCTTGCTAGGTTATTATATTTGAACTTTTCGCCCATTGGAAATGATCGTGGTAATTACTTAATGAAGAAAATATATTGCCTGTTGACCTATTTCATCTTCATTCCCAAGCTATTTCCTAAGATTATCCCTTGCGGTTATTCCACTTCGTAAAAAAATTGATTAAACACTACTGTATGCGTGAAAATAAATGTAAAGAAATTTACAAAGTTTTGAAAAAATCATCAAAGTATATTATTAAATAATAACAAAACAGAAGTTTATGTAATCGTTGATTTTTTATTCAATGAGGTTATTTTATGTTAAACATTCCTTTACATAACAATAACCTTCAGATTTGAAGAAATTTAAACAAAAAAAATTATGTTCAAAAGTCGGGAACATATGTTTTTAAATAAAAACAAATCTCAAGTAATTTTATCAGGACAATTATAAAAATTATTTTACTTTTTATCAAATTTTCTGTTAAAATGTTTGTAATTTTATTATTTATTTAGCCATTCTAAGTTCGATTCCTTTGATTTGGGCCATCTCCCATGATTCTACCATTTTTATAAACAAATTTTAAACTTATTTTAACTAATTTACTTGCAAATTACACAGTAAAAGTAATTGATTTCAACATTCTCGGACATAACGAAAAATTATCAATTATAGGTGACATTATTGTTTCGTTTTATATAATATGCAGTACATTGCAGAATTGTCTGGCAAATAATTAAGTATGTAATCCAAATGTTAATATTGCGTACTGGCTTAGTGATAAATCACGATTAGCTGTAAATTGCTTCCAAAGCTTTTCTTATGGAGAACATTTTACGTTATATATAATTGTATATACAAAATTGGAGTATTCCACTATTATTGTCGTATATACTATATCTGTAATACTATAGCATACCATAAATATAAAGAACCAAATTATCTCAAGCATTATCATACCCCATTGCAAACACAAAGCTAAGAGTTCAACTGCAATAAGTATTTTATACTTATACGCCAATCCTGTACGAAGAACGGGTACTCTGCTAGTTATCGTATATATTATAGGCAAGCATGTTGCTCGAAAACCTTTTTTCTCAGCTCATGTGCATCGCAGGGAAACTCTACTCATACGGTTAGAAAGATATTTGCCTGTAGATGTGCAGAATCCCTTTATAAATTAAAATTGGCTAAAAAATAAGCGCAATAAATTAATTTAAAATTTAAACAATTAACATGTCTTATGGGTTGCCAGGCTGGTGACGAAATAACATCAACATGTAAACAGAATATCAAAACAAATTAAAGAAATTCCAATCATATGTTTTATTTACATCGGAAACGTTTTATTTTTATATAATATTTCAAAAGAGTGAAGTGTAAGTACCTAACACTAATTGCGATGTAGTAGATTCCTGTACTGTCAGTGTAACGTTTAAACAGACTATAAAATAGATCAGCCGGTATAGCAGTGTTTTCAATGGTTCGAAGGTGCGGATAAAAAGTTTTTGGTTATTTAAAAATATGGTATGAAATAGTTACACAGCCACCACTTATTTTAGAAACAAAAATTAACGTTTGCTTTAGCTTTAGTTAGATAAAATCTGTTTCCGTTAACTCATGTAGGCCAAATGAAGAAAACTTAGGCTACCCACTACGATATAAGGGTTGTGCAGGACTGATACTTTATTTATGTAATTTAATCTGTAAAAAACAAACTTACTTTTAAGTGTATTTAGTTTAAACCCTACCTTTATGTGGAGAAAAATAATCTTACATCACCAAGTACTGTAGCTGCGGAAAGAAATGTGATTCGTACCAGATAAAAAAGAAAGGTACCACTTAAATTTTCCGAAGGTCCATTTTTACTGCAGGTCTTTTAGTAAATTTAACATCAAGCAAATCAAAGGAATCAAAAGAGTTTCTCTAGACATAGGCCTAAAGTATTTTTTATTCATTTATTTTTTACATTCATTTATTTTTAGCATTCATTTATTTTTATGAAAAATAATATTTTGGAGCGCTCAATCTAGAGGCACCCTGTAAAGTAAACATATACAGTGTTAAGCACATAAAATTATGTTGTTTGACCACTGTCCCAAATATCTTGTAGCCCTTTTGTTAATTCAATATTCAAATTGCATTGATGTAAGTAAAACATCGACGAACAGCATGCAAACGGCTGGTTAAATATGGTAGCTTTTATAATAAGTGTTACTTTACCCGTTCCATATTTATACTAACTAGTACACCTGCTGATCGGATTCGAGCAATTGCAAAGTATACCGGCGTTATTTCAAGACGAACAACAGTCATAATTTCCGATGACTTAAAAGTAAAAGAGTCAACTCAAAACAAAGATAATTTAATCAATCACTCCACTTCAGTTATCGAAACTGAAAACGAACGCTCTTGTAAGTATCATGTGTTCACTATGAGCAGCTTTAATTAATACAAACTAGATAACCTTTTGCTCGAAATCGAGCAAAACTGCAAGCTGTAATAAAATAATAAACAACAAAAACATAAACAGCAAGACCTCAGTCAAAGAGTCTCGCTAAAGTAATTTCTGACTGATTATAGAAATATGAAAAATATTATGTTGTAAAAATTATAAAAGTTTAGTAATCTACAATATTTAAATATAGATCCGCTCTCATACTGCTTTGGTTATCTCTTATGTACTGTACAGTAGGTGGGTGCCCTCTATGGGAGCGTAGATGTCAACCACACACTGTAAAGTGAGCTTTTCAGACTTTTAATGTAGCAAGCTAAATCCCTCTCTTGACGCTAACCAGTACGACTACAGCATTGTTAAATATTTGTACTATATGTTTGGTTTTAGGCATGTTTAAATTAGGGGTGCCAAACAAAGTCTCCGGTTGAGAACATAAGAGAACAAAGCAATCCAGTTTGGAAGCAAGAGGATCTTGCGACGGATCTAGATCGAATTCGCGTTTAACATTACAGTATTATTTTTTTGGAAAATAACTTAGATTTATTTGGCCAGGTGGTGCTCTGTTTTCAGCTTTAAAAATAAACTGCGAGATTTATTTAAGTAGCATCATTGTAGAGAGGAAAGTCACTTCTTTTGTCTCGTACTATGCACATGAATCTCATTTGACTCCTCGGACCTCTCGTCCCTACACATTTCTGCCACAATTTTAAAAGATTAGGCAAATAGGATGGTATTACCGATGTGACCCTATTCCCGCATATGTTTTTTATGAATTTTCTTTTTGAATTTTGTTTCATGCACTGTTGGGTTCCAGTGCCAACGTCGTACTCAACTATACATCTGTGCCTGTTCAGTACCTCCTCGGAGGTAAAACGTGTCATGGTTCTTTAAATTGTAGATCCCCTGTGTGATCCTCTAATCTAAATGAGCTTCAGAGCTGACCATGGGAAATGCGAAATTGGGTTGACGAATTTTATCGCATTAATTTCTAGATCTAAGCCTCGCAGCTCTGTTTTCAGATTGGGAGTTTCCAATAAGTTCCTGAAAGTATGGCGAATTCCGCAGATGAGGTAAACGGTTCTTTTATTTATGGTACTGTAAAAAAGAGTACTAATTGAACTTTTTCTGCCAGTATTT